CGGTACGCGGGCCTCTCTCCCGTTGCGGAGCACAGGCTCCGGACGCGCAGGCTCAGCGGCCATGGGTCACGGGCCCAGCCGCTCCGCGGCATGTGGGATCTTCCCTGACCGGGGCACGAACCCGTGTCCCCAGCATCGGCAGGCGGACTCTCAACCACTGCTCCACCAGGGAAGCCCCCTTTTTCCATTTTTTAATCAAGTTGGTTCTTTGGCGGTTGTTGAGTTCAAGGCATTATCCATATATTCTGGATATTAATCCCTTGTTGTATACCTGATTTTGAAATATTTTCTCTCATTCTGTGGTTGCTTTTTTACTGTGTTCATAGTGTCCTTTGATGTACAAAAGTTTGTCTCTTTTTCCGTTTCCCCCCCCACCCCCAGCTTTATTGAGGTATAATTGATACATAATGTTGTGTAACTTAAAGGTATCCAACAAAAATTGTTCATTTTTATTAGGTGCAGTTTTTGTATTTTTTCTTTTGTTGCTTGTGCCTTTGTTGTCATAGTCAGGAAATCATAACTGAATCGAACATTTTGAAGCTATTCCCCTTTGCTTTTTCTATGAATTTTACAGTTTTAGCTCTTATATTTGATATATATATATATTTAAAATTTATCATTTATTCATTTGGTTGCACTGGGTCTTATTTATGGCAGCTGGGCTCCTTACTTGTGGCTTGAGGGCTCCTTAGTTGCAGCTTACAAACTTTTAGTTGTGGCACGCATGTGGGATCTAGTTCCTCGACCAGGGATTGAACCCAGGCCCCCTGCATTGGGAGTGCGGAGCGTTAACCACTGCACCACCAGAGAAGTCCCAAGGCTTCTGATATATTTTGAGTGAATTTTTCTATGTGATATTAGGTGAGTTCCCAATTTCATTCTTGTGTATGTTGGTATCCAGTTTTCCCAGCACCATTTATTGAAAAGGCTGCCCTTATTGAATACTAATGGTCCTTTGGTCAAAAGTTATTTGATCATAAATATGAGGGTTTACTTTTAGGCTACTCCCTGTTCTATTCCATTGCTGTGTATATATGTATTTATGCCAGTAGCATAGTATTTTGCTTACTGTAGCTTTGTAGTAACGTTTGAAATCAGGTGGTGTGAGTCCTTCAACTTTGTTCTTTTTCATAATTGCTTTGGCTATATGGAATCCCTTGAGAGTCCATTTGAATTTTTGGAAGAGTTTTTCTATTTTTTGAATATGTCATTGGGAATTTAGTAGGTATTGTATTGACTCAGGAATCCCCCAAGCAAGTGTTAAAATTGATGCGTCTATACTGACACATTATTATCACTCAAAATCTGAAGTTTACATTAGAGTTGACTCTTGGTATTGTACATTCTATGGGCTTTGATAAATGTTTAATGATTCTCATTCCCCATTATAGAGTGGTTTCAATGGTTTTCAGTGTTTCAATCCTTTGTGTTCCACCTGTTCATCCTTTCTTCCCCTGTACTCCTTGGTAAGCACTGATTTTTTTTTAACTGTCTCTATATGTTTTCCCTTTTCTAGAGTGTCATATAATTAGAGTCATACATTATGCAGCCTTTTCATCTTGGTTTCCTTCACTTAGTAACATGCATTTAAGTTTTCTGTTTTTCTTTTCTTTTTAACCCCCGCCACGTGCCTTACAGGATTTTAGTTCCAGAACCCGGGCCATGGCAGTGAAAGTGCCGAGTGCTAACCTCTGGATCATGAAGGAACTCCCTTGCATGTCTTTTCATGACTTGATAGCTCATTTCATTTCAGCTCTAAATAATGTTCCCGGTATCTTGATGTATCTTGATTGTCCATTTGTCTGCTGAAGGAATTCTTGACTACTTCTAAGTTTTGGCAGTTATGAATACAGCTACTGTGAATATCTGTGTGAAAGTTTTTGTGTAGATGTAAGTTTTCAACTCCTTTTTTATAATACGAAGGAGTAGAATTTCTATATGATGTGTAAGAGTTTAGTTTTGTAGAAAACTGCCAAACTCTCTTTCAAAGTGGGCTGTACCATTAAGCATTTCAATGGGCAATGAATGAAATTCCTGTTCCTCCACACCCTTGGCAGCATTTGTGTCAGTGTTTGGATTTGGGCCATTCTTTTTTTTTTTAATAAATTTATTTCATTTATTTTATTTTTGGCTGCATTGGGTCTTTGTTGCTGCACGCAGGATTTCTCTAGTTGTGGTGAGTGGGGGCTACTCTTTGTTGCAGTGCATGGGCTTCTCATTGTGGTGGCTTCTCTTGTTATGGTGCAAAGGCTCTAGGCGGATGGGCCTCAGTAGTTGTGGCACGTGGGCCCAGTAGTTGTGGCTCACGGGCTTAGTTGCTCTGAGGCACGTGGGATCTTCCCAGACTGGGGCTCAAACCCGTTTCCCCTGCATTGGCAGGCAGATTCTTAACCACTGCGTCACCAGGGAAGCCCAACT